AAACGTGCTCCGCTCGGGCTGAAAATGCGTTACCCCACCATACCCCACCCCGCCCCCAAACATACTAACATTAAAACATCACGAGGGAGGTCCAAAAGATTACAAAAGGGGTCCAAGCGTCTTGATTGCTTTTCAAGGGCCAGCCATGTGTGTAATGTTCAAAAATAGACTCCCTTCTTTAGAGATGTCAAGAAAATGTGCCTTGATCAGCTGGTACTCGCGTGTGCGTGGCCCGGGGCGTCGGCCCCCACTTTTGTCTTCTTCCCAACCATATATTGTATTTTGCGTCTATACGCGTGTGTGGAATGGGCTCATCATCCGCAGGTTGATAGAAAAAAAAGTGACTGCACTGGGTCCTACCACGTTCTGCCGTATAGGAGGTTCGAGCTGACCATATTACTGGCGTAATCTACAGCAGAAGTGTCTATTTGGGCCATGCTGAGCTGGCTGTGCAGGGAGGGGGGGCTGGGCGACATCTCCTCCAGGTCCAAATCGTTTACCTGCTGCTGGTTCTGGTGCTGGCCGAGCACCACCACGGCCCCATTCTGCTGTTGGCTCTGTTGATTCTGCTGCACGGCTTGTTGGTTCGGCGTCGGCGTGTTGGAGGCGTTCTGACACGGTTTGCCGTCCTTGACCAGAACCGGTACGGCTACGCGCCTCGGGGACTGGGCCTGCTGTTGGCACATGGTCCCGTCCTGTTGCTGTTGTTGTTGCTGCTGCTGCTGTTGTTGTTGCATCTGCTGCGCCGCCTTGTCCTTGGCCTGGCGCTTCATCTTGTATCGATGGTTCTGGAACCAGATCTTCACCTGGGTCGGCGTCAGGTGGATCATGCTCGCCAGGTGCTCCCTCTCCGGCGCCGACAGGTACTTCTGCTGCTTGAACCTCCTCTCCAACTCGTAGACCTGAGCCTGCGAGAAGAGAACCCGCCGCTTCCTCCTGGGCGCAGCGTGCAGGGCCGGCATGGATTTGGAGGCGTCCGCCATTCCCGTCAGACCCCCCATGGCCGCCATGTTCATACCTGTGGAAGGTCCCATGAATCTAGAAACTTAAACATATACATACATATATGTGCGTTCAATCAACGCCATAGCACGTCACCGTACTACCTCACGCTCGTGTTGAAATAACGGAAATCTAGAGACCATTTATTATTATTTATTGTTCTAAAATATTAACGTAAAGTTCTATTTTTGGGCCTGCTATTACTAAACGTGACATTAATAAAATGCGCTGTTTATCTGTGAGATCGAGTAAAGTTGGAATTAAGAATTTGATATGAAGTCGGTTCGTAATTCAATACTCGTAATGGACGTGTAATTATTTGCCATTTAAAAAGTGAAAACTATTTTGTAAATAAACAAATATAAAAGATAACTGCGCTGCTCTTTTATTTAATCTCACGCGTGTATCATTTAAACAATTTTAAAAAGTAAAAACGGTCCATAATTGAGAATGCTAAAATTATGAAATGAAGAAAAATGCTGGACTCTCTGTTATTTATGTATTATTTAAAACGAGATTAGATCAATTCGATCACTGCAAAAATATATATAGAGATTTCAGAACTGATTGATTGATTACATATAAATTGTAAACGTGAAATCTATACAATTATAAACATAAATGAAACGTATGCGTAATAATAATAATGATAATAATAATAATTATTATTATTATAATAATAATCGAGTCAGACTTGCAATGAGGACCATTAATGTCATTCCTAAAGTTTAGTGTGCAAGATAAATTAAAATGCTGTAACTCAACTTGTGTGTTTAATTCTAGTAAAGTGAGCGTGCTTTAGTATTTCGATTACAGGAGAGCAGGCGAGGGCGGAAAAACAACAACAGCTGAGATCTTGTGGCTGGAAAAGTGAGCGTGCTTTAGTATTTCGATTACAGGAGAGCAGGCGAGGGCGGAAAAACAACAACAGCTGAGATCTTGTGGCTGGAAAAGTGAGCGTGCTTTAGTATTTCGATTACAGGAGAGCAGGCGAGGGCGGAAAAACAACAACAGCTGAGATCTTGTGGCTGGAAAAGTGAGCGTGCTTTAGTATTTCGATTACAGGAGAGCAGGCGAGGGCGGAAAAACAACAACAGCAACTACAAAAACAACAACAACAACAACAACAAACACCCCAAAAGATGCGATGAGTAAGTCCCGCAACAGCGCACGCACTTACTGGTGGAATATCTGGGATCAGCGTTGGTGCTGTACCAGCCTGTTGCTGCAGCAGCACTATTCCTCATGCTCTCCTGGTAGGACGGCAACTCGCCCATGTTGCCAATGCTCCCATTGCAATATCCCCCCATGGCGCTGTGGGAGAACTGGGACACGGAGTGCGGCATGTGGTAGGCGGCCGCCACGCCGCCGTTGTGGCCCATGGAGTGCTGCTGCATGCCGCCCTGAGACACTTGCGGCTGCCGGTAGGCTCCCAGCGGAGAGCTGAGGTTCCCCGCGCCGTCCATGGCACTAAACTTCTTGTAGGTCTCCTCGATTGGGCTCAAAATATCTGTCACGGAAAAAGGCGTTGTATGCTTTGGGCTCAACGACATGATTCAGAAAGCAGGTAGATTTTTTTGGGGGGGTGTTGCAGCAGATCAAGCGTGTTGTTGTATCGGCTCTCTCCTTGTTGGGTGTCTACGTAAGAGAGGGCTTGGAGTGCGCCTGAGATCCTATTGATCGCCTTGGAGAAGGAGGCGAGCCCAGGGCGCTCTTAGCCCGGTTTATTGGAGCCAGGAGCCAGGTTTATGACAAACACCGGGGGGCGGAGCCACGCGCCTTAACCGGCAAACAATGCTCATTGACGTTTTACTCGCATAATTCATGAAAACAAACTTTCATTTACACCGGCGAGGACGCGGGGAAAGCGTAAAAATATTTGGTTTATTTTGTCGGAGAGGGAGAATACCCATTGATCATCAGCTGGTTTTTTACTTCTTTTTTTGGGTGGGGGGTGGACAAACTTTGAGAGCACTCCGAAGAAAAACTGGACCAGCGAGTATCATCAGTGGCACATGAAGTACAACATGCTCCATGCTTCTCAAACTGTATTTTTTTTTTTGTAAACAAACAGCCATATGGATCTACACTTAAACAGCACGTACTGTTCACTCATTGGCCACAATATTAGGTACAGCTGCACAAAAGCTAAGGTAGAAATGTGGCCATAGCAAAGATAATAATCCAAAGTGGCCTATTTACGTTGACTCAGGTGTTGTGTATTTTACTTTAGAGTGGTGTTTATTTTTTTTTTTTTAATTATGTTTGGACTTTATGAATGCACTTTTGAGCTGCGTTCAAAATGTCACTGAATGTAACTTTATTGTCATTGTTCCAGAATCAATGGCATTTAGTAAGTAAAGTGAATGCTATGTTACAAAGCACTTCTCAGAGAGGACTCACAAACTGGTTCACATGATTAAAATACAGAATCACCGAATTAGAATTAATACAAGAAAAATATGGCTGGACAATGGGCAGCTAAATTGCATGCACATCAATTTCTATCCATTTAAAATCCACTGTGCATTTTTTGTGCAATTATTTTTTTAGCTGCAGCATAGTAGCAGAATCCTAACTAAAATAATAGGAACACCTCACAGGCTTTACACTATGATAATACAGGTGAGCTTGTAATAGCGTCACTCTAATCACATAACTTCCTTACTCATTTATTTCATTCAGATTTATGCAGTAAATGACTCTCCATTTTAATTCACTGCAGATGTTGCAAAAATTCCTCTCTCAAAGACAAAAGATGATTGAGGCAGATGTTATTATCGTGACGCAAACCATCATTTCAACAGACTTTGACCAAACAAGATACAGTACACGATATTAGTCACATGACTAAGTTTATGCATAATAATAATAAACATGCTGTGCTCTCCAACCGTGTCAATCACAACTGCGCATTTTTGTCATTGTCAAGGCATTTTTTATACACAGCTCTTGAATTCGAGCTCATGATTTTGCACCTTGGGCAAAACGACACTTTGTAAAGTTGCATGACGACAATTTTATGAAACGCCAGTGGGCCTTTCAGACTCGATGCGATTTGGAGACATTATAATCCTCTAACCCTCAAGCCTGGCCAGCATGCATTGATGACACTTTGTTGCAGTCTTGACCTGACATTGTAATCTCTCAGCAAACTGGCAGGCGCCAGGGGAGGAATCAGTGCAAGGGGACAAACAACACGCGGGAGGAGATTGCGAGGGGGTGGGGGCTCACAATGCAGAAGTTATACAGAACTGTGCTAATTAAAATCCGTTAATGCATCTCATCCGTGTCTCGTCAGCTTCACTTTCAAATTAGATCATATCATAATTTGCTAGAATGTTCAGTGCAGGCGACGATGGGAGCAGGTGCTTGGTGCTGCTTCTTGCACTCGGGTTACTTTGCAGACGTATGGGCCTCTTTCTTCGTTTCAGTTCGTCTGCATCAAGGCATTAATGCAATTTAGCGTGGCAGGGCAGCTAAAGGAGCTACCTAGCCTAATTGAGCAAATGAAGACGTGTCATGGTCGGCCATCAATTAAGGCTACAAGTGAAGAAACACTAAACAATCTCCGGTTAGCCTGATTGGAGCACATGCTGCTTGCAGACAAATTTGCTCTTCGGATATATTATGAAGTGTTTGGATTTTACTGTTGTGAGGGAGTGGGGAAACACGCACATACAAACACACGCGCACTCCGTTCTACCACGACAGCTGGAGTTGTCAGAAATGCAATAAAGATTAACCTAATATATTTTTTTCAAAAAAAGAGTATGAGAAGTACCGAATCGCGGAAAATGAACATTAGTTTAAAAGAAAACAATCTTAATATGTTTTTCTGGAGGAGCAGAAAGCTAGGCCTCGGCTAAGAACTGGAACAAAATGCAAATGAGGCAAAGCTCTCAACCTTGTGCCTTACAAAGTCAGAGAGCAGGACCCGATAACACAGACCCTCCACATTAGGATGTCATAAAAATCTGGAGCTGGTTGGCTCCGTGCAACGCGCTTCAGAGCAATTGTTCCTCGAAATCTAGATCTCACTTGAGTTACTCTTATTTTGGGGGCATCCGGTGTCTCAGGAGGCTGCAGCAGGATGATCGGAACCAACAGAAGCCCCATGAAAGGTTGGTTGAGAACTCAAACACAATGTGACACGTCCGAGGAATCGAACGTGACATTATATACAACACATCACAAAAGATGGCGATTCGATCGTTAAAATTTTTTTCGACATAGTTATGTTTATATTTAGTTTATTTTGAATTACACACTCGGGACTACCTCCGTTGAGAAATATTTCGTCTCAATCACGCGCGATACGGCAGACTATTTAATAACACTGGCGCTATAACAATTCGACTGTTTGCAGTCAATTTCAGTGATATATATTCGATGCTTTTTAACAAAATAAAGCAAACCTCACTGGTCAATTTGAGGAATTAATGACGTTTTCCATCTTATTTGGGCATCAAGAAAATAACCGTCATTATCAGTCAGTGATACATTTAATTCATGACACAAGACTCTAATAAATATATTCGCGTCTTGCGCACGAATACTTTCCTGTCATAATCACCATTGAGGGGCTCCGCCGGGCCGATTTCGGTCCACCTAAATAACATTCGATTAATGCTTTTGTATCAGATGCTGGACGTCGAATCCCAGTTGGTCTCGGCGTAGCAGATGGACGAAATGCGCCAGAAGTACTTTCCTCCATCACTTGGATGCTAGCTGGTTCAATACCGTGAGAGATGTTAAGAGACGACTGAAGAGCCGAGGTCTCGACCTGCCACCTCAGCCACTAACCAGCCGTGCATGCAAAAATGGCGCATAACGCGAAGGTTCCTTTTTTTGGCATGTAGACATCAAAACCCCAACTTAACCCATGATCACTTCTTCAAATGCGAATGGGATTCATTTTTACATAAAAAAACTGGTAAGATTTTTTTGAAGATTTTTCTGGTAAGAAGTCTTTTTGCCCAATTCTCTACATTATAATGTGGAAATAAGATTTGAAAATAATGTCATGTTGAATATTGCCGTATTTATTTTCTTTTTTTAATGCATGTATATTTGTTCAAATACGATACTGTCTTGTGCGTAAATTACGCCTGGCCCCGTACTTTTCAATATTTGACATTAATTAGTCACTTTCGAGTTATATCGTCACAAAGGAACCAAACGAGCAAGGACTAATACGAGCAAAGAAATGTTTTAATTTTCAGAATATTAACTTTTCTGGTAGGCCACGGAAGAAAAAAAATCCAATATTAAATAAATAAATAAAACGTGCTATTAGGTATACGCGCAGTGAGCACAATAAAACGACTCTCTGGGGTTATAATTCTGTCCGAATAGATTAAAGAGATTGTCTCCGGACATATTTTTATTTACCGACCCAAACATTTGAAAGCTCTATAACCGAACGAGCACAATGGTACTGCATCACCTGCAGAAGCGGATATAAAACGAAACCAAGCCTTCCACTTTTATTGTGAACCTTAAACAAATGATTGACACTTTCCTCAAACCAAGATTTCACATTTGGAAGAAGTGAGGAAATCGAGAAATAGCGAGGAAATTCCACATGTGGACCGAGCCCCATTTAGCTCAAATGCTTTCTCTCCTCTCAAACGGCCCAGCAATGTGGGAGTAAAAAGCGGGCAGGTGCATATCATTCATGCTGGCCTACTTGAAACAGTTCTGTCCCTCTGCTAAGTAGGTTAAAGGTCCTCCCAAGTGGAGAAAGTATATGGCAAGCCTCTTGAAGACCTTATTCTTCTCCAGGAGTTTTCATTCATTCACAATTAATGTGGCTTGATGGAAGAAATGATGCTAATAGGGTCCCCAAAAAACAGAATATGTGGATGCTGATCATGCATTTCGGGGAAAAGTGCCGAGTATAGTTGAATGCAAAATCGTGTAATAGGATTAGTGAGTGCATTGTTCCTGGCACCACTTCATTTTCTTGATTAAGTTACTATTAAATTTATCGTCAGGATCTGGTGAATGCGTATGATAAAAATAATGGCTCTTGCATTCTGGTAACTTATTAAAATACAATACAACAAGGCCTCAAAATTTCAGTTTCCAAATATTTTGAGGGTTAAAACTGTCCGTCAGGCTTGATTTAAAGTATCAGTAGGGCCAAGCACTTTTTTTTTTTTGCAAATTACAACAAAAAAAAAAAAAGAAAAAAGAAACTCAGAGCAGTGTAAATGGCAAATGCACACAAGCACCCTGTACTGTTTTTTTTTTTTTTTGTGTGTCGGCATGGCTTGTTGGACTTGTGGGCTGCGTGAATGGTGCACGGCATCAGAGAGGGCAGGTAAACAAAAGCTCTTTTACTGAGCGTATCATGTGACTCAGCCTCAGTTGGGTCAACTTATTGTTCAAATTGCAAAATGTTTCTGCCCAGCTGCACAATGGTAAATAGCCATGGCGATGTAATGAACTGTTTGGGTGCCACATCCTCAAGTGATCCGTCTATCATCAGGAAAGAAATATCAAATTCCACAAGCTTAACTCTTGCCAACTTGAAATTCTCAAAATGTATTTCTGATTTTGGATCCGCGGATTTCTACACTCTGATCAAATGGAACATATTTATTGTTGGCCTATGTGCCATTTGTCTTTCTTTCTTTGTTTTTGTCCAGAAACAGCTGAGTCTGAGACTTTTCAATCTTTTCCCTCAAATCCTGCGTGACTGAAGAAAACTGAGAATAAAACGTATTGGTCCCACTACCAGAAATAAATGCAAATAGCAGCAATCTGTCTCAAGTGTTTCCTTGTGTCCAGTTGTGCCCGGATTCTAATTTGTGTTTTTCTATCAGCAGTCAAGAGACAGGCCTCCATCTTTTCGACCAAACTTTCTGAGCACTTTGTGTGTCAGTTTTGAATTGAAACTTGAAATGATTTGACAGTCAGACCGTGTCTGTAGAAGCTGCATATTTCACTTGTGTTTGTCTCCACTTTTGAGTGCTTTTATGCAGGAAACCACACCGGCAGTCTGCCATTATAATTCACATAAACACATTGCAAAATGACTTCTCTCTGAATGTATTGAACCTGACAGATAGACGTAAAAACTCCTGTCGTATAATTTGTAAGAGGAAGTTTGACTGTAAATGGAGGAAAATAGACGGCAAAATAATTGGGCTTCTTCCCGATCATTACATCTGCAGCCGAGCAACAAGGGTTCATAAAACAGCATGAACTATAACAACATGAAGCACATGCTTTCTTTTGAATTTGACATGTATGACGTGTGTGTTTTTTTTTCTGTTAATGAAAACAGAATTTCTTAACATCCATTTTCAGATCCATATGACAGAAATTATATTTCCCCTTTAATTACGTGCACATTTTCATAGTTTTACAATTTATCTGAAATGTAATTGTTCAAAGTTGTATCCCAGATTAAGAACTGTTTTTTTCTACCCTTTTCATCTTCTTGAATAATAATTTTGGGCAATCACAAAGGTCAAAATGAATCACGTTTCGTGGGTTGTCTGTCGAGTCAATTCCATTCATGTCATTTTCTCTCAAGTGTTTTTAATATCTTTAAAACCCAGCTTGTGCCTTATTTGCTTGAAAACACACACACACACACACACACACACACACACACACACACACACACACACACACACACACACACACACTGTATTTAGAACATACACTAACTGTCTGCTACCAAAGATACTGTAAATCAACATTTCAAAATATTAATGATGTGCTGGGCGGCACAGTGAGCAATTTGTTAGCATGTCCCCCTCACAGTGCAGAGGTGCAGGTTTTTGATTCCGTCTCCAGCATTCCTGTGTGGAGTTTGCACGTTCTCCCCGTGCCTGCGTGGGTTTTTTCCGGGTACTCCGGAGTCCTCCCACATTTCAAAAACATGCATGGCAGGTTAATGGAACACTCTAACTTGCCCTGAGTTGAGATTGTGAGCGCGAAAGGTTGTGCGTCTATGTGTGCCCGGTTCAGGGTGTCCCCTGCCTCCTGACGGAAAACAGCTGGGGGAGGTTCCAGAACGCCCGCGACCGTGAGGATAAGCCGATCAGAGAATTAATGGATAGTATGTGCTTCATCCTGTACAACTTTTCACTGATTGTCATTGACAAGTGAATAAGAATAAAAAGCATAGAGTGTGCATCTATTCCCAGCAGTGTGGATTCTTTTTATCTGTTTTAACAGAACGGAGAATGTTTTGTTTGTGTTGATACATAATCACACTTAACTTTGCCAATCGCTTTTTTGCTGTTTAAAAAAACTGAATGGTAAATTAGAACATTGCTGAAATAATTAATTGAAAGTAATACCAGTATCAAGATCAAATTGTTGCTGATTTCAGTCAGTACCCTTTGTGGATTTTAATTATGTTGTTAGCTGTTCATGCTAAACTAACGGAACACAAATTTTGCATGTAGTATCACCCAAATGCCACAACATTAGGTACACTTGCACAATCTAACGTGAGCTATATCAATGAAATATAAATAGTAAATGTCAACATTTTACACAATAGGAAATATATTGCAAGTTTTTTTTTCCCCCATTCTTCAAAAGATCATGTTGCAGCATTTGGAGTGGGAAGCAAAGCCAATAAAACGTTTATTTGTCCACAAGAGTACTTGCCCTCTAAAGGAAAATTCCAGAACTATCCATCATGATGCTGTCCATCACTTCCCATTGCACTGAATCATCTTGATCTCGGTTTGTGTCTGACCACTTCCGTCAAGTCTATCTGAGACTCTCTTATTTGCTATTTTTGTCACGCACTGTTCCAGTTGCTCTTTTCACGTTTGTAGGACGTCAGCCGCATATGCAGGGCCATCTCTGAGGAGGCTTGATTCCATCTTGTCTGGCTGATCATTACACTACCTGCTCGGCCACTTGAAATGCTTTGCTGGCCTCTTCTTTTCAACCATCAGAAAGTAGTGGGGAAAACCCTTTCACGCTGTTAGAGGCCTTTTTCTCTCTCTCTCTCTCACTCTCTCTCTCTCTCTCTCTCTCTCTCTCTCTCTCTCTCTCTCTCTCTCTCGACCATGACTGCTGCTCAGGTGACAGGAAAGCAAGCCGGTTTTAGCAAAGTGGTCTAAATCGTTTTTGGTCAAAATGGTCACAATTGGATTGTCTAGCAACAATATCCCCAATAAATGACGGTCAACGCTAAATCCAGCAGCCACTTCATTTGTTCTTACTTCATGCATGAGAAATGCAGTATCAAATATTCTGCCGGGATATAGATCAGAATGCTCAGCCGTGTTTGACACACGTCAGAGGTATTAACGTAACAATATGCTCAGGCCTATTCATGTAATGTAGTTTTTTTTTTTAATTATCTAATAACCAAAACTAAAATTGGGAAAAAAAACATTTTATTTAACAAAATGAGATAAAGACATAACACTTTAGCAAAAATTATGTAATTAATAATATATAATAATAATAATAATAATAATAATAATAATAATAATAATACAATACACAATACAATACATCTTTTATTTATTTATATAAAAAAGTGATATACAGAACCGTTAACATAAAATAACAAAATAATATCACAGAACACATAACATAAGACATGGACTATCATGCAATCGTAACCACTACTCCTGCATACGACTTGTTGTTTGAAGCAGTTATAGAAAATAATAATTAAAATAATAATAATAATAATAATAATAATAATAACTGAATGTATACTTTATATTCATAAAACTAACTAAAACTTACTGTAGTGAAAATCTTTTGTCTTTGTTAATTAACGTCATACAAGAACGTTTGGGGTTTATTGTCAATATATTCATTTCGGTATTGCTGTACTGTATATCCGTACCTACAGAAGAAGGAAGATAAGTTGTTTTGAGAATTGTAGTTTGCTTGATTACAGAATACTTTGTGACATTTTTTTCTTT